ACTGCGAGTTGTGAAATTCCTTATGTATTCAGACGTCTTATAATGAGCGTTCACGCTACATCAGAGCTAGCAACAGATCACTGACCTCAATGACAAAAGATTCTCGGCCATAAACTGACACAAGTGACCTCAGCAATAATTCCCCAAAACTCGGCATGATTCTTCACCGGCTTGCACGCTGCCAAGTTTAGAGTTACATATTCAGATACCTGCAGGCATTATCTGGGAGAACAGGTTGGCAAAATTTGTGTCTTTGTAGAATCCTAAAATAGTACATTTGTGTGGTTCTACGTGCGTCAATCAGTAGTCATTGGGGATATTTCACTAAACTCTGGTCTGCAGCAAATTAAGGCAAGATGAGATGTTGTGAAAAAATTCTCAAAATCACCTCTAGCCATAGCTTGACTATTCAAGCTAAAATATAACCGACGGGACTTCAAATCCAAATAATTTGGAGTTTAGTAAAAAAAAAATTTAAAAAAAAGTCCCTTGGTGTTTAGTGAAGATACACAGACTCAGGAAAACACGTACAGAAATTAATAGCGAACACTGTAGGATAAGCAATGGGGGAAACCTACAAACCCCTCGTTGTCGAATGATCTCTGGACTGACTGAAAAAGTCCTGGAAACGATTTCACAAATGATTACAAACGAAAACAGGCTATAAGTCACTAAAGTGTTATTCTAGGTTTTGAAGCATAGCAACACATATTAAAAATAAAATGTAAGAAAAAAAAAAATCGTAAAAAAAAAAAAAAAAAGGCCAGGAGGGCTTCAGATCAGAAGCATTTACAATTTGGCACCATAAAAGTAAAATTCCCTAGAAACAGGACCGAGAGTCTAAACATGCAGATATACAATATATAAAATCGAAAGTCTGAATTAGAACACAGTGGGTAACCAATGGGAACGCAGCATGACCGACATGTCGACTGTGATTGGCTGCAAACAATTCTGCTCCATCTGCCTAACAGCAGAATCTGCAGATCCTGTAACTGAACTTCAAGCCTGTCACATACACACACACCACCGAACACGTTCAAAGAGGTCTATTTATTAGTTACACTTAAAGCATGTATTCTACATTCTACATTCTAATTTACACACACTTAATGTGACCACTAATGTGTTCACAAGTGTCTATGGAATTACAGAATATTCTAAGAATTTTATTTGTAACCATTTGTTTGCTAGAGTGTATTGTGTGCGCGTGTTTGTAATATTTTTTGTTTTGATTTTGTTTTGCGGTTTTCCTTGCTGGTGGTTTTACCTAGCGGGATTAAACATTCAAACAGGCATTTCAGCAACTAGCAAAAAAAAAATAATGAAGGGTTAATCCACTGAACTGGTAATGGCACAGAAATGACACGTGAAGCCAAGTTTTAGGACAAAACATCAAAGCTTTGAAAATAGGGAAGTTGGATCCAATTTTCCAGTTTGTTATTCCGGAATGCAATTTGCAATCCCCCCTTTAATAGTTCTCCACAGTGTCCAGTTATGGGAATATATCTCTCTATTTTATAATATAAAAAAGCAAAAAAAGAGTTTAAAAAGAGAGCGAGAAGGGTAGAATGAATTATGAATCCACTTAACTGACTCTATTGAATTTATTTTCCAGACTTTTGGCCTACATTTTGCAATCACCTTATTTCTCCAAAATTCTTCATTTAGTGAATAAACGTCACAGTTTTTATCTGGAGTTGTTAATCTACAGGGGGAGGGGGTATATCAAGAGGGGGCATGCCATACCTTTTAAGTGCCAAAAGGGTAAGCAGTGGAACTAAAAGTGGGATTGTCAAGAATCCAAAAGACAGATTATGTTTTTTTTCTTATCCTTACATAAAGTTTGACTCTTGGCCGAACCCCAGTGTACTCCGTGTCGAACGTGGATGAGATAGAGAAAACTGCTGATACAGACAGAAAAAACTTGACTTTTTTTATCCCCGTATTATTTCAAATATCCATTTCTTCATACTGTTTTGGCTGCAAGTAAAAATAAATTGTCAGCTGTCTAATGCAACAATACATTTTGAGATGGAGAGAGCAGGAGAGATTATAGTTAATTTGGGTGAGCAAATATCACTATTTTAAGAAAGCTCTTTCTTCACAGTAGGTGGATAAACATTGTCCAGTGAACTTTAACTGGCTCGTGTTAAGCTAAAGCTAAAAAAAGGCTTTATCATTTTTTTTTGTCAGAAGCAGTTTGATCTATGAATGCAAAAACTACAAAGGTGCGCTATAGACAGGGCCAGCACTGTTGTAAGGTGACTTTGAGAAGCTTACCTCATAGACCAGTGGGGAGATCTCTCTGACCGGCCCTGCACCCCTTTCGAGAATACAGAGGGAGCTTGTGGTCTGCACCACTAGTGGGTGCAGGTCACACTCAGAGCTTCCTTGAAGTCCCTGGAACATCTAACTGACTTGGGGCACTGCCTCTGAATGCCAGAGGTGCAGACCACAAGCTCCTGTTCATGACCAGCGATTTTAACCTCCATCGCTACATAAAGGGCTAAGCAGCGTAATACACTTTCTTTTTTTCTAAAGGAATTCATCAAACACAGCCACCCACAGATGGAGTTTATGCACACACATCTAACACAGTTTCCCATGGCATGTCTCCACTATGAGTGGGCACAATGTCTGTGACGTAGCTGCATCATGGACACATTCACCTGCTGGTCCAACCCCACTCCTCCCTCTCCCAATGTCAGATCTGCCAAAGTTAGCATGTCTGATGTCCACACACATTGTGTCTCCACTCACGTTTACAACACACAGAATGGGTGGACTAACAGACATGTATTTGTAACCAGATGAGTTGGACACACAGAACAGAGGGGATTGAAGGCCCTGCTCAGATGAGTTTAAATGCTAGAGGGAGTGGGGTTACATACATATCACATATCACACACACACACAGACACGCTAAACCTTCAACATATACAAACTTGTGGAAAGGCTGTGAAAAATGCTAGTTAGGGTGACTACAATGGCAAAGAAATAGTGTACAGGAAAACATGTTAAAATACACTTAAAAGGAGCCTAAGAAGTACGATAAGCTGGTAGAAGGGAAAACGAGGGAGACAAAAAAACTTGGGAAAAGAGAATAAAGGGGACAAATTTATGTTTGGGCTATACATGTCCACAGGATAGGTGCCCGCCATAAGGCCAGTTTGAGCTAGGGATGTTTGAAGAAATAGTTTTCGATTCTGTATATATCAAGGGTTATATGTATCCAAAAACAATCATTTTCACCAGTATGAAGCCCGTATAAAGAAATGGGCTATGTCTATACTTGACTTATAATTTCTCTATAGCAATAAACTATATAAAATAACCTATCATCTGGCTCCATTCCATCTAGATAGAAGATCTGTCCATCAATTGGCTTCCTTCCTGGCATACTATATAAACTGACCTTGATTACAGTCTGTAATAAAAAATAATTATTTTATTAAGGGCTTAACTTTAAATATCAACCAACGTAACTGAGTGAGAAATGTCAGATTTAAATATATACAAACATAACAATTCTTTCCACTCCCTAAAACTATTGTTTGTCTATAACTTCTGTAATTCCAGACTGGTCTTTTGTAGTCTGGAAGAGAATTATGGGGGTTTTATTCTGAGAACTACAGGGCTTATTGAGGGCACAGTTCAACATGTCCTGCAGAAACTATGGTAGACTTGTTCATTGTAGAGTACAATTTTCCCATGATACACAGCGAACCATTGATGTTAACATTAGCTATATATACATCGCCCTCAGCTAACATCGATAAAAAAAACACAGAAACATAGAATGTGACGGCAGATAAGAACCATTCGGCCCATCTAGTCTTCCCAACTTTCTAAATACTTTCATTAGTCCCTAGCCTTATCTTATAGTTAGGATAGCCTTATGCCTATCCCACGCATGCTTAAACTCCCTCACTGTGTTAACCTCTACCACTTCAACTGGAAGGCTATTCCATGCACCCACTACCCTCTCAGTAAAGTAATACTTCCTGATATTATTTTTAAACCTTTGTCCCTCTAATTTAAGACTATGTCCTCTTGTTGTGGTAGTTTTTCTTCTTTTAAATATAGTCTCCTCCTTTACTGTGTTGATTCCCTTTATATATTTAAATGTTTCTATCATATCCCCCCTGTCTCGTCTTTCCTCCAAGCTATACATGTTAAGATCCTTTAACCTTTCCTGGTAAGTTTTATCCCGCAATCCATGAATCAGTCTATATCATCACAATTAAAGTTCTCCATCCACCACTCAACTCAAAACAAATAGAAAGGGACCACAGGGAAGCCACGGGTCTCCAGAGTGCTTGTTTTGGCCAGAACTAAGCGCCAAACACCACCATGTTAGCATTTCATTGAGTTGACTCACGAGAACCTGACTTTGCACAGGAATTCTCATCTTAATCCATAAATCTACATTTTAGACATGTCACTAATATTCTATTTCCTGTTAATTATCTGCAGTAAAGGAAAAAGGCAAGTGAAATGTGTGCCTGGATAGTCTCCTAAACCCATCAACCGTCTGAGTTCCATGGTTTCCACCTCGTACTTCGCTCTGCTGGTGTCAAATGGTTAAATGCAAAAAAAAAATCAAAAGAAAAAAAAAATAGAAGAAGCTTGCTCTATGGGCAAAACGATATCACAAAGTAACTTTCACATCCTGGCACTTGCTTTGTGACTGAGCTGCTAAGCAGATAAAGGGAGGAGAGGCAGACATCAGCATTTTTTCAGCAATGACATCATCCCTATTTGGGGAAAGCTATCAGAGAAATACCATCGGGGAAATGTTACCAAGCAGTAAATTCCACAGGGTAAATCAGTGCTTTTTAAAATGCATGCCGCTCAATTGTGCATTTGCAAGACGTATAATATTGTGAGTGAGAAGACAGCCCGTTATGCTGTATATTAGTAGGCTGCTCGATTGGTTTCATTATATTTTTTTTCTGTAGCAATTGTTGTAAGAAATGGCATAGTCGCTAGATTTGGGTATTTACTTTTACATATTTCTACAAAGTGGTTTTAGGAAATGAGAGCTTTACATCGTACTTAATTCTTCTAACATTCCAAATGCCGAGAAGTGGCTAATGATTTCTGCACATTACTGTCCCTATTATCATTAATATAGTTTGTGTTTTAATGGAGTGCTTCTGGGGCTTATTTAAATATCGCATTTTATCACTTGCTTTCCTACGCAGCTGCTATTGTCTCTCTGATTACCTCATTTTAACCCCTCTCGTTCCTTCTTTTCAGTGAAGCGGTTAACCTGTACATGAATCATTATTTTCGACCATTGCGAGTGTGAATCTAAATCATATTAGCAACTATTTGCAGTATTGCAATGTCTACATGGCAACAAAGATAAAAGAGCAAGCATTCTTGACCACTAAGACAGATCTCTGGAAAGTAACCCTTGCCTTCCTTGTTCGGAAACAAAGAGGACAAGAGATACTTCTAGAATTCCTTAGATACAGGTGTATCTTTTCTTGTACAATTCCTGCTCAAGTGCAGGGTTGTTTTTGCAAAAATATTTTAAAAATTGCATCACTACTCAACCAGAACTGCTCACGTAATGAGGACGAAAAGAGATTAGTTGGAAAGCACATTACGACATGTGATTTAGAAACTATTTAACACTTTTAGCATTTGAAAAGCTAGGTTTAAATGAGTGCTGTATGCCAACCTACTACACTCGAGAGGATGTGTTCGTTCACTAGATGATGTCACCTTTTAAGTTAGGCTTCCTTCTACAAGATCAATGGAACCCTCCCCCCACCTTTAAAAGGGTGCACTGTCTTTGCGGTGCATTGAATAGACACACGAAAGCGTTGGTATGGTGTTCAATCGTTTTGCAAGGTCACGATGAGCCATTCTCCAGCAGCTATGGTGGACTAAGCAGATGTCGTCATGAATGACAGATGTCAAAAATGAAGTTATGAGAAATGGACATTTTGTGTTAGCTATGGATGTTATAAGGTACTATAGGAATTAAACATTTATTGTTATTGGCTCATTAACGATTTAATATATAATAATGGATTGTATCAAAGAAGTAGAAAAACAGGCAGTATACCGGCCACACACAATTTTACAGTTTAAACATATTATCTCTTAATAATTCAGTACAGGCCATTCACAGCATATGAATCTATTACCACTTCATAAAACATGGACATTTAAAATTACTATATATTTATTTTGCAAGCTGTGCCCCGTCTGTCATATGTATAGGTTTTATTGTCTTGTATATTATACATATATTTTACATATTATGTTGTATATGTGCTTGACTTATGTTATCACTCGGTTCATCGTGTGAACAAGCATAGTAATAGGGCCATGGTGCATATATTGATATACATATCACCCATTCTTTTTATTAATTAGATTAAACCCATAACATCCCATGGCACACAGCATTGCTTCAGTAATTAATCATTCAAAATTATATATGACAGTTTTGAATGTTTTATACATAGTTATTGGAATAGAATCCATTCTGGTGTTGGATAATTGTTTAGTTTAAATGTTTACAGTGAATTCTGCATTTTAAAGTCAGTAAATCAGGGTGTAATCCTTATAGTAGAATTCACAGGCTTTTGAGCAATGGCAACCATTAGTGAGTTATCCTGACTGTCAAACAGATAATTCCAAAGAAAGTCAATTGTTCTTTAGGCTTTTAAAGAAAGTCTGCAGACAGTAACAGGTATAACGTTATTCTATTTGACAGAAATTAGCAGAATGTATTGTATTGTATACAATTGTATTGTATTGCTAGATCCCAACAATGGTTACCAGATTAATATTCTTTTCCACTGAATAGCTTGTAAAACAAAAGTTTGTAAAAAAAAAAAAAAAGAAAGAAAACAATGGAGTTCACTTAAAGGGACACTATAGTCACCTGAACAACTTTAGCTTAATGAAGCAATTTTGGTGTATAGAACATGCCCCTGCAGCCTCACTGCTCAATCCGCTGCCATTTAGGAGTTAAATCCCTTTGTTTATGAACCCTAGTCACACCTTCCTGCATGTGACTTGCACAGCCTTCCATAAACACTTCCTGTAAAGAGAGCCCTATTTAGGCTTTCTTTATTGCAAGTTCTGTTTAATTAAGATTGTCTTATCCCCTGCTATGTTAATAGCTTGCTAGACCCTGCAAGAGCCTCCTGTATGTGATTAAAGTTCAATTTAGAGATTGAGATACAATTATTTAAGGTAAATTACATCTGTTTGAAAGTGGAACCAGTTTTTTTTTTTTCATGCAGGCTCTGTCAATCATAGCCAGGGGAGGTGTGGCTAGGGCTGCATAAACAGAAACAAAGTGATTTAACTCCTAAATGACAGTGAATTGAGCAGTGAAATTGCATATGATCTATACACTAAAACTGCTTTATTTAGCTAAAGTAATTTAGGTGACTATAGTTTTCCTTTAAAGAAAATGTCCACCTCATGTTTTTGACATGATAAAAGATTCGCAAAAAATTATCATCAGCCTTTTCTGGTGACGGTAAATTTTCACAATCCAAATTCAGATGTAATAATGCCCTTATCTGACATAAAAATAAAGTTATTTCTTTTTTTATTTATTTTAAAGCCATCTGCCGAGAATGTGCTCTTTAATATTAAACAGGTTTTGTCAGAGTTCTGTTAAAATGTGTTCCGAAATTAAAGGGACACTTAATGTACTATAACAGTGTCAAGTTATGGTGCTTAGAGTGCCCCTTTAAATTGACAATACAAAGTTATATCACAATGATACATTTCACAATACATTCCTGGTCAGAAGCACAGAACTGTAAGCTCCTACAATGGCTACTCTTGTCGGCATTTATCTGCTCACAAACGACCTGTGACTTTTATAAGTGAGAGGCCATGCATGCTAAGTTTCACAGCCATCTTGAAGGACGCCGAAGCCATCATCAGGTAAGCATTTCTTTTAACCTATATATTTTCTGGCATTTACACTAAAACATTATATACATTTAAAGTGGCTCTGTCGTTGTATTTTGGTTTTATTCTTTTGGTTTTCCTTGCTATACATATATAGTCCCTACTTTTCTTTAAATATTTTATGAAAACTAGAGTCCTCAAAGAAAATAATAATACAAAAATAAAAATAAATAATAATATTCAAACACAGGGAGTTATATAGAAGCTGGTTAGATAAGGGATATTTTTGATGACAGCGCCGTTTCAATGAATTTGGATCCCTAGCGGAAACTGACTCTATGATAACGTTCCTTTAATGGTAAAATGTAGCACAATCAGTTAGCGATATAATTATAAATATAGATTTTTTTTTGTCAAAATAAATACTCCTATATGGACCTTGTAGCAGTTTAAAATTAATAGACTGAAGGATACAAAGAACGACACCTGCTCATTCTTTGCCTAATTTAATTTATGTCCCAATTGACCTATTCTTGATATTTGAAACATGGTCCAAAGGGCCTAAAACCGTCACGACTTTAACTTGGCCCCAAACAAGTGTTTTCACTACATTCCCCTTGGTGCTTTGCAAGGATATATTTACTAACTGCTGTTATCACTTGCACCTGATATAATATACAGATTAAACAACAGAGCTAGTGTGGAAGTGGAATAGACAACCCATCATTATTAGCTGCCATCTGATAATGTTAATTTAATTTCCTTCTTATTTCAGCCATATCTGTATTCAAGGCATTGTTATCTTTATTGGTTGGACTGCTACCGCTTTGACGCAATAGCCTCTCCATACATCAACAGTAATTTATGTCACGTCATATTCGTTGTTTGTTTTTTATTGTCTAGAAAGTACCAACCCTCAGAATGAAAGTAGGATTAAGGAATGTTTATACATCATAATGCACCACAAATGTAACAATGTATGTTTGTAAGTGTTTGGTAAATAGTGCTGTCTCCATTAGTGGTTCCGCAGTGCCAACCTATTGTATAAGTTACAGATCATCCCAAATAGAATGAACAGCATTAAAGGGACACTGTAGGCACTTTATCTGCTTCATCTCATCGAAGTGGTTCTAGGGTCTGGAGTCCCTTGGTGCCCATTACTGCTCAGGATCATGCCTGTTCATTAGCCCATTAGCCACACAGAGGGGATGGATGGGCTGCTAGTACTCTCGTTTAGATTTAAAGCATTAAAAAACAGTTTAATACTGAATAGAAGGACAGTGCCAGGGGACTCCGGACACTATAACCAATTCAATGAGGATGAGGCAGTTACAGTGCCGGCCTACGGTGTCCCTTTAAACTGCTTGAAATGGTTTGACAGTGAATGGAAGGACAGTGCCAGCGGACTACAGGCAATTCAATGAGATGAAATGGTTATAGTGCCTACAGTGTCCCTTTAAACAGCTTGAAATTGTTTGACACTGAATGGAAGGACAGTGCCAGGGGACTACAGGTAATTCAATGAGATGAAGTGGTTATAGTTCCCACGGTGTCCCTTTAAACTGCTTGAAATGGTTTGACACTGAATAGAAGGACAGTGCCAGGGGACTACAGGTAATTCAATGAGATGAAGTGGTTATAGTTCCCACGGTGTCCCTTTAAACAGCTTGAAATTGTTTGACACTGAATGGAAGGACAGTGCCAGGGGACTACAGGTAATTCAATGAGATGAAGTGGTTATAGTTCCCACAGTGTCCCTTTAAACTGCTTGAAATGGTTTGACACTGAATAGAAGGACAGTGCCAGGGGACTACAGGTAATTCAATGAGATGAAGTGGTTATAGTTCCCACCGTGTCCCTTTAAACTGCTTGAAATGGTTTGACACTGAATAGAAGGACAGTGGCAGGGGACTACAGGCAATTATTATTATTATTTTATTATTTATATAGCGCCATCACATTCCATAGCGCTGTACATTGGGTGGACTAACAGACATGTAATTTTAACCAGACAATTGGATGTACAGGAACAGAGAGGTGGAGGGCCTTGCTCAATGAGCTTACATTCTAGAGGGAGTGGGGTATAGTGTCACAGAGGGTAAAAGTAGGGGTACAAAGTAGGTTGTTAGAAAAGTATTAATTGAGGGCTTAGTAGGTAATTTTTGAGAGTTGCAGGAGAGGAGTCATGGGGGTGGGGGATAAAAACCTTCTTACAGTTTAACTGATATGCTTTCTTGAAGAAGTGATGCTTGAAGAAGAAGAAGTGATTTTTTGAATGAGTGGAGACTGGGTGAAAGTCTAACGGAGAAGGGAAGGGAGTTCCACAGAAGAGGTGCAGCCCTGGAGAAATCTTGGGGGCGAGCATTAGAGGTGGAAGTACAGACAGAGGATAGACGTAGGTCTTTGGCAGAGCGTAGGGGCCTCGACGGGACATACTTGTGTATTAGGGAGGATAGGTAGGTTGGAGCAGCATTCTGTAGGGACTTGTAAGCAAGCACCAGAATTTTATATTGAGCCCTATATTTAACTGGAAGCCAGTACATGGACTGACAGAGCGGGGAGGCGTGGGAAGTGCGAGCGGACAGGAAAATGAGCCTCGCTGACGCATTCATTGTAGTTTGCAGCGGTGCAATCTGGGAACACGTAAGACCACTGAGAATGGTATTGCAGAAGTCAAGGCGAGAGAGAACAAGAGCATGGACCAGCACCTTAGCTGCATCCGGGATTAAATAGGGGCGGATGCGCGCTATGTTTTTGAGATGGAAACGATAGGATTTGGTGATTGATTGGACATGAGGTGTGAAGGAGAGGTTGGAGTCAAAAAGATCACCTAGGCAGCGAGCCTGCGAGGTAGAGGTGATGGTAGCGCCATTGACTTGGAGACAGACAGACACAGGAGTAGTAACACTTGAGGGAGGTCAATGAGATGAAGTGGTTATAGTGTCCACAGTGTGTCCCTTTGAGCTAGATAATAATAACTACTCGATCCCAGGTCCAACGTGACAAGTAGTGAATTCTAAATGTACCTTTCCTGGTTAAATACTCTGAAAAATGAAAGAAAACTCAATTTCCCCATATAAAACAAGGACTCCGTGACATACTCGGACCATGTGCCCACGCAGTGAGCGCTTGTTGGGCCCTATAACTTGCCCGCAGTCCAGGAGTGGCGCAGGTTGCTTGCCATATGCTCTAACCCACTTACATCACAGGTCGTAATAATCAACGCCCAGCAACTATCTGGATACGGCCCTGATTAACACCATAAATAACGCACCCAAATGGATAAATCGCAGGTCTGGCACCTACTTGCTTATGTTAAATATCATTAATGCATTACGTCATGTCGGGGTATATTTTAGGGGGGGGGGAGTTTGCACTGAATTTTCATTAAATGCGTTTTAATAATTCCAATCAAGCCCTAATTCTTAGTTTAATTTTTTTTTTTTTAAATAAATGTATTTCAATTAGAATATCACTAGAGCTGACCCCTCCGATGCCCAAATGTAACCCTCCATATCCACTATAAGTTTTATTTTTAGGCAATAGATCATTTTTAAGTTAGAACTGCTTAATTTAAGTGTATTATTATTATTTAAATATTAAATAATTACAGTAATTTCTCTCACAGAACCCCAGGATGACGCGCTCCGGGATCGTCCCGGTTTAATTTCAGGACACGGCGTGCCCTTTAAAACCAGAAATGTTTAATATAAAGATAAATTACAAATACTCGGTTTATATTAACCCCGTGAGAATGGGGAGAATTTATGACAGCTGGTAAAATGCTGTCATTCTGGGATTTTCTGAAACTCACTAAGTTGAAATTGTAAAAATACCACTGATAAGGGAAGAAGAACAAAAATCCCCTGAGTGAAATGCTTTCAGTTTGTGGTGAAATCCCCCACAGAGCCTTTATTCAGACACTGTCACTTTAAATCCCCATTTCCCTGTCTCTGGCTCTCTGTCTCCAGAAAAACCTCTTTCTCTTTCCCTTTGTCCCTCTTAGTAACTGCCTCGGCCAATCAGCGGCGCGCCAGCCGGCATCACTCGCCGCTGATTGGCTGCCCGCGATGAAGGCATTTAAGCGGCTGCTCTCACGCCTGCCAAAGCGCTCGCGCTCACCAGGCAGACAAAGACAAGTTTAAAAAAAAAAAAAGAGCGAGCGAGAGAGGCTCCTCCCATCGACTCCCCCCCTTCCTTCCTTCTCAGTCAATCCACACCCCCTCCCACAACCTTTCCCTCTTACGCGCCACCCCTTAGGCCAATCCCCTTTTGGCTCTGGCGTTCCCCACAAGCTCCGCCCCCTCCGCTCTCCTTCCCCCTCCCTCTCTCCTCACTGTTTAACGGCTTTGGCTCGCGGCCAGCTCGCGGAACGTACCATTCCTAACCTTCTACCTGACTGTTGGAGGGGGGGACTGGTTGGACGGGTTGCGCTCAACACTTACAAAATGCCCCCTAAAACCCATCCAGGCCGTGCAGCTCGCCTCAATACCCCATAGAAAAGCCGTCTAAAGACAGCTGGGGCCGTCGGTTTACTGATAAAGCGGTCTTTTCGTTGGGCTTATTCTCCCCGCGCACCCCCATGGAATGTTGAGGTGGTAGGTGCCGGCAGTTTGCCGGTTGGCGCACGCTGCTCTTAAAATGAAATGTACTGAGCTGCGAGCCGGAGAGGGGAGCAGGGAGCGGAGCTGGCATCTCCCTCACGGCTGCTCTTACTGTCTGTCTCTGGCATTACACGGCCGCTGCCATCATACTCCCCCACCAGCACAGGGGGCCCCAGACAACATCCAGGACACAGCTCCATCCGGCCCCTGGGACAGCCTCCAGGACGTCCTGCCAGAGGGGGGTCTGTCTGAGTGCAGCAGCAAACTGGGGGTTCACCTCCACCGGGGCTGCAACAGCAGAGAGCGGGCTCACAAAGGATTGGGGTGCAGGAGCAAGCTGTGGGTGCAGTGAGGCCATTTTTAGGGGTGTAAGAACAAAGCTTGGGGTGCAGTGAGGATTGTTTGGGGTTCCACAGTAAGCTTGGGGTGCAGTGAGGCCATTTTTAGGGGTGTAAGAACAAAGTGTGGGTGCAGTGAGGATTGTTTAGGGTTCCACAGTAAGCTCGGGGTGCAGTGAGGTGTTTTGGGGTTCCACAGTAAGCTTGGGGTGCAGTGAGGATTGTCTAGGGTTCCACAGTAAGCTCGGGGTGAGGTGTTTTGGGGTTCCACAGTAAGCTTGGGGTGCAGTGAGGATTGTCTAGGGTTCCACAGTAAGCTTTGGGTGCAGTGAGGTGTTTTGGGGTTCCACAGTAAGCTTGGGGTGCAGTGAGGATTGTTTGGGGTTCCACAGTAAGCTTGGGTTGCAGTGAGGTGTTTTGGGGTTCCACAGTAAGCTTTGGGTGCAGTGAGGATTGTTTGGGGTTCCACAGTAAGCTTTGGGTTGCAGTGAGGTGTTTTGGGGTTCCACAGTAAGCTTGGGTTGCAGTGAGGTGTTTTGGGGTTCCACAGTAAGCTTGGGTTGCAGTGAGGTGTTTTGGGGTTTCACAGTAAGCTTGGGGTGCAGTGAGGATTGTTTGGGGTTCCACAGTAAGCTTGGGTTGCAGTGAGGTGTTTTGGGGTTCCACAGTAAGCTTTGGGTGCAGTGAGGTGTTTTGGGGTTCCACAGTGAGGTGTTTTGGGGTGCAGCTGTGGGTTCCCTGTATCTTGTGGCAGGCAGGGCTGTCACCATGTATAACACAGTGTGGAATATGGAGCAGGAGGACACAGACTGGAGGGAAGTTATGATGCCTTACTCCACCGAGCTCATCTTTTATATTGAAATGGACCCTCCAGGTATTGCATCACTTCATTTTTGGGGAGATACTGCATGTTTGGGGGTCACTCCCTGTCTTTATGATTTCTTCTCCTTCTTTGTGTTTAATGTAAAAGGGGGTTAAAGTGGCACATTATGTCCTGCCATCCACGGGGGAGTGGGGGGTTACTGTATTACCCCCTGGGTTTTGGGGGGCCTGCTGCTGGTTTAAAGGGATCCTCTTGTGATGTCAGCTGCAAGAAAAGTCACTCTCCTGTCTGTTTTATGGGAATTTCTGCTGCAGCTTTGTGTTTAATGCCTGGGTTGCCATTCTGTATGGGGCAAACAGGATTTCTTGTTGCTAGCCATTGGTAGCCCTGGAGTAGTTGGAACTTGCCCCTATTGGGGCAGTTCAGTTTGAATGCAGTACTCACTTTGTTGCAGCTGGTTTTGGGGGTCATGCCAGCTGCAAAATCCTGGCTTCATTATTGCAAGTACTGCCCCCCCTTTTCTGTTAAAACCCCAATGTTCTCTTACAGAAAGGGGTGTGACTGGTCTCAGACAGGTTCCCCACCAGTGGATTGGCTTTGCTCTCTCTATTTCTCCATATTCATAATTGCTATAAATGTTTCATTCAAAATCTTGCCCTACATTTCTGCAAATTGAGAGGAAGCAGGATTACATCATTGCTGGTTTTCTCTATTTCCAGGGCAAAGTATTAACACTATAAAATGGCATATTGCTTCTATTCTGCCATTGATGTAACTCATTCAGAAAGAATAGACTTGGCAGCTATGGAATAACCTGTTTAGTGCATTGCAGAGTAACCACTTCAAACTGACTTTCTATATGGTTTATATCCTTTTTGTCATTCTTTGATGACTTTTAGTATTGAGCAAATTTTTTAAAAATTTTTTTGGGGGGGGGATTTTAATATTTCCCTCTATCCCCTTCACTTACGCCCGAATCTTGTGTTCCAGAATGGGGTAACGTTCTATTCAGATATTCCAAGTCTTTCCCAAGTAAAAGTACTGCAGTGTAGCTATTCTACGCAGAATCGTGCAAAATGTATATTCTTTTATTTGCGCACTTCTCTACCTGTATAAAAATGGCCGAAAAAATGCATTTTGGCTTTTGATGTTTTTGGTTTTAAAAATGTCTTGATCTCTTCAGTCTTTTGTAGCGCCTCACTTCGCCCTTTGTTTCAGCTGAAGATGTTACTGTATTCTAGGAGTCTGTGAATGCGCTGATCGCTTTTATTGCATTTTCTTTTCCTAAACATTTATGCAGATTCAGCTGAATTGTGCAGTCAGGTCATGGAGGCAATGCACTGTAATTGTGTTGCTCTGGAATAGGGGATGTTAAGATATTTCATGGATCTTCTGGGTTCAAGAGGCAAACCTCCACTTTTTTTTTTTTTTTTGTCTGTAAAATATTTAACTGCTGCATGGCCGGTGCATTGTTGATCCATTGGCATTGAGAGGGTTAATGTGCATTCTGCTCCTTCGACCGGGTAGAGTCAGTTTGTCACCTGGTAGCCTGCACAGGGGTCACGCAGTGTTGTTTCTGGATAGATCACTGTAGGGATTGAGGGGAATGGACCTGCACAGGCCTGGTTAAATTTGCCAAGGAGTCTAGAAGTGTGTGTTCGTGTTCTGTAGACAAAGTGACCCCAGCTTGTGCATTCACATAGCAAGACGTCAACCTTCTAACATTTCTAGAGCAAATGGCTCTGTATAATTATCCACGAAAGAGCGTTTTATTCCATAGATGTTGGCTACTGTGGATTTATTTTTTATTTTTTTTCGCACATCATTTTTCATTCCCTGAACATATCCACTCAGTGCACACTGGATGGTATGTTAGTATGGTGCGTTAACGCCCCCTTTATGGAAAGCTGCTGCTAAATCACCCCAAAAAGTTCAAGAAATTGACATCTCTAAACATTGTGTGCAGTAGTGGTCGGTCCTTTGTCTTAATGTCCAGTTAAATGTATTGCCCCAGAAAAATGCCCATTGTCTTCAATGACATAAGTGTCGATCTTAACCGTGTCAATGCCAGAGGTGGGTGCCATGTATGGATTTACTTTTTTCTAGCTCTGTCTGGTGGTATATTAGTTTTATGAGTCTGGGGTGAGTTTATGGCTTCAAGAATAAATGCGTTCTTTCAGCTGGTAGACCCACTACTGTCGCTCTCTTACCTTATCGTGCTATGTGAAGACCCTTCCAGCGTTGGATATACATTTTCCATCCATGAGCCTGTGATTTCCAGAGACATTGCTAGGGATGGGGGTTCCAAATGGAGAGCCCTTCTTTCTTTGCGGCGCACATGTCACTCTTTAAGGGGGCAAACAAAGCATTGTAACGTTGCGCTTTCTTTGCTGGCACTCAAGGAGTTAAGTGTGCTGCTTTCTCCTGACACACAGACAGACCCAGGCATGTATGATTTACATACAACAGATCCAGAAAATATAAAAAAAATATATATATATAATTTTTTTTTCTATCTATCACATGGGAAACTGCCCTACAAATACTTTCATTTAAAAAGTTATTCTGCATAAAAATCCACTGCAAGAAAGTATGTGTGTGTATGTATGTGTATGTGTATATATGTATATATATGTATGTGTGTGTGTATGTGTGTGTGTGTATATATATATATAAATTATATGTGTGTGTATATATAAAATTTGTATGCACTTTCTCACAAGCGTCTTGGATCGGTTATATATGCTTTGAAAATAAATACATTTTTAAAAGGTTTAAGATGCATTTTGCATTTGTTCAATTTTAAAATCATTTTTTAATTTATTTTATTTTTTTAAAATCTTTTCCTTTCCACCCCCTTCTTTCTGTGAATTATCCAGAGAGCTGATAATGCATCATGAGATATGTCCTTATCTGGTGCAGATCTCCCAGTATTTGCTACCTGTTTGTGACTTCATATTTCTCCTCATACATGGAGGATTGTATGTCTGTTCTGGGCAGGTGTACAGATTAAAAAAAATAAAATCAGAAACGAAGGGGTTGGGGGTGTTAAAATACATGATGGCATAATGTAAGGACATATGTACAAAGCACTTAAAACAATAGGTGTCTGCATCACCAGCCTTCAATGTCTGTCTGTTTTTAACAGTGTTAAACTATCACATTTAAATGGATAGAAAACCATGCTAAGTGTGTCCGATTTAACCCTCTTATTATCTACCTCAATCACTTTGCCAGCTGTATTTCGACAGCAGGAGTACTCTAACTTTTCTGCTTTTTTGTAAATCCAGTTCGGTTACAGATATTTGCTTTATGGCTCTTTGTCTTCTGATTACACATAGTTTATACATTACCCCCCCCTCTCCCAGCACCAGCTCATATTTTTTTTTTATTTTTTTTTTAACCCGTTAAGTGGAAACTTTTAAATGCTGTACATGGTTATTGCCCGGGAACAATGTTTTTGCACTTTACTGCCCTTCTAACAGTATGTCTGTGAAAGATACACTTTTGTTTCTATTTTACAGGACGTTGCACACTTTTACGCATTAAAAAAGTTGCTTTTTATTTGATAAATGCCTGTACTAGTTTGTTGTTTTTATTTTAATTTTTTTGTTCTTTTTGCTGGCATTATCTTTCACAGTCCCAGAGTATTGTGCGAATAGTCTACAAATGTGCCTAAAACCAGCTAGAAGGTATGAAATGTAACCTGTCCCCATAGCCAGCTCCTAACCTACCTGCTGCTCCCCCGCATATCTTCAGCTCAGCGTCAGGAACATGCGATTACTCTGCAGGGCTCCCATTGGCTGGAGCTCTGTCTCCATTCAGAGATTAGTTTTTGCCAACAGCGTCTGATTTGGGATTTAGAAGAGAAATCAGGCTGGAAGGAGTGGGGCGGTTGCAGGATTAGGGTTACTAACGAGCACGCTATAGAATATCCACTTCAGTGCAAATGTGGTGCCTGGCCAAACCTAACTGGGCATCCCCCCAGGAGGGTCCTAATAGCTGCAGTATCGTTGGTTTACATTTAAACGTTACTGTAAAACAACTTTAAGTGTTACTAAGCTAACTTTTACCATGACTTTAACAGAGCGAGTGTCTGGAAGGGAATATGGAGATACTTCTAGCTTACTGCATATCTTTATTGGTGCTGGATTCCTGCCCTGATCATAGTTTAGGGGCAGTGCTAAGGGTCGGATGAAACTGGCCAAAGCAGAGACTGTCAATGTTGTAAATCTAACTCGAATTACACTAGCCTGTCCACTAGTCTACCACACTTTATTCCTCTGGAGGGGATGTGGGGTATATACCTAAATTATCTTTAAAGCAGTTAAGTATGTTTGTGATCATACAGGATACATAAAGTAACTTTTATTTTTTTTATTTTTTTGGTAGCGTGACCTATTAAATAGCTGATTCTCTTTTCTTAAAAAAAAAAACAAAAACAAAAAAAACCACGTACCTAAATGCACGCCCCATATTTCTCACTACGTTCCCCATTATATTTAGCCAGTCTTTAGGCTCTGAGTTGTATAGTACAAAGGTTTTTTGTTTTATTTTTGTGCCCTTAAATTTATTTTTCTATAAAGTCCTTTCTTTGTACACTAACGGTTCTTAATGTGCAGTAGACCTTGAGTAAGTACGTGTACCCATTACTCCAAACATGTGGTTAAACCGTTTTCGCTCCAGAAATGTTTTTGAAGGAAATGCGCCTCACTAGCTAAGTTAATTTTAAGTCTGAATATTTAAACAAAACCTCTTAGTTTGCATCTAGAAATAATCAATGAAAGACTCACACGAGCAAACCGTATCCAAAACAGGTGGCTAGGAGGCATTTTACACTCATATTCAGTGTAAGCCTCCCTGTCTCTCTGGTTTAATACATTTTACAATCTGGTAAAGCAATGGACATCTTCTTATTCAATGTATTCTTTGCTCACTTGTGAGAACTCACAAAAGCTGAAAGGATTTAATTGGTAGTTTTATTACTTTTAGTAGCTGGTTATATTCATGGGTGTTTGTGGTTTTTAATTTTTTTTTTGAGGGGGGACTATGTATTAAACAAAGAAAAGTCTTATGTCATCTTCTCCTTTTCAGCGCTTCCTCCTAAACCACCCAAATCAATGACTCCGGAGCCTACAAATGAAAGCAAGGACTCCCCTTCACCTCTGCAGGATGCGGAGTGGTACTGGGGTGATATCTCAAGGTAATGACAAATAATTAGCTTATCTTAAGTCTGTTCTGGTGCTATGCTTTATTTCTATAGCTTGTGTTCTCATCATTAAATTCTCCCAGCCATAAAATGCTGAGTAAGCATTGTCCGCTTGTGATTAATATTTAATGTGAGACGGTGGAGGGGAGGGGGGGTCATTGAATTTGACTTCTAGTGACCTGAGAATAGCATTCCACTAATACTGATGGCTGGCAAGATTATTTTTTTTTATATTTTTTTTCTGATTCTGTGATCATAAATGATGGCACTAGGAGGCCCTAGGTTTTTTTTATTTTTGTTTTTTTATTTTGCATTACACATTCCCCCGTTGTCATCTGGGTTAAACAGGCTGGTAATAGGTGGTGTGTGTTTTTATGTATTGTTTCTCTGATCACAGGCAAGTAGACTAAAGTTTTAGAGGTGTTTGTAATAATTTCAGTGGTGTATTTATCATTCCCAGCTAGTGTTTGTTTTTTGTTTTTGTTTTTTGAGATATAGATAGAGGTGTGTGTGTGTGTGTGTCAGCATAAAGAGAAAATATATATCCTTGTCTGAAAGTGTGTTTTAAGTGATATCCTGGTACATTCATAAAATCTCAATAGATGCCTTGATGTCACTGTAGTCTCGTGCCTCATATACTGGTTAAATCTTCAGTGTAGAATGCAAAACTACTCAATGTTTAGTAAGCTTTATTGCAAAAATAGAAGTTTTCTGAAGACTTGGAAAGCCAGCTCAAATTATGAGTCTAGGTTTCACAAACTGTCGTAGTACACAGCTGCTTAGTTTCATAGAAATGGATGTCTCTAGCAATGGCATTAACTGTATATTTACACAGTATCAATAAAGTGTACACATTAGTGGGACAGGAAAAGGAATGCCTCAATTTTAAGAATTTTATTCCAAGAATCAATTAATGCTTTACTAGAATAACCATTTCATCAAGTATTGAAAGGTAGTAGATCCTCGTCCCCCACCTGTAGTATGGCAGGATCCTTCAACAACATATATGCACCATGGGTCAGGCAATGTCTGGAAAGCATTTTCCCTTTCAAACTTGGTGAGAGGATCATTATATTAAAAACGTGTTGAGGTGACAGTTGGTCTAAGTATTTAGGCTAAAATGTGCTCAGACCTGTTTAGTGAGTTAACAAAGGAGTTTGTTCATTGACCTGTAGCAATAGACTTTTGCTATAAAATGTTTTCAAGTGATAAGTTGTAGCTTGTTTAAAAATAATTTGGCTTGTTTTCTTTCCAAAAAGGGAAGAGGTGAATGATAAGCTGCGTGATATGCCTGATGGGTCTTTCCTAGTTCGAGATGCATCAACCAAAGTGCAAGGAGACTACACTTTGACCCTAAGGTAAGTGCTCAGAATATATAGGGTTTTGTATTTTTTTTATTTATTCAAAAATGGCTTCGAACATGATTAGAAAAATGCATGTGATCATTTTGTCCAAGATAACTAGCTGTGATGAAACCTTCATATTCAGAGAATATTGTATTGCTCAGATATGCTTATTCTTATGTATTGTGTATTTGTGAAAGGAAGCAATATTTCCTTCAGCAGGAACTTTTCTAAATCTAAGGGTTTGTTGCCCAGAAACTATCCACATGAGATAGGAAGTGTTTTTTTTTTTGTTTTTTTTTTCTCTGCTAGTAAATGTATAGATTCTGGAAATGGCAAATCTTTTATAAAGTTGTACTCTGTACCGTCTGAAATGCTCAAGAAAACACACAAAATATAATATGAGCAAAGACTATACTATGGAAACCGACATCTAATACATTTTATATTCTTGGTACGTTTATAGCTCTTATGAAAACTGATGGTCTTTGTACTCCAATAGTAACAGTAAAATATTACTAACCAGAGTGAAGTGTGCCCTTCATCACCCCACTGCCATCTCTTCTTGAATGTTGGCTAGAGTTACCTGGTCCTTTACACATATTTGTGATTTTTGGCAGACGATACTAAAGTTTGACTGGTGCACAGAACATTTAAACGCTTTGGCAGATTCATTATTTTACAAACGTATTCAAACTCTATAGTGCAATAACCTCAATCCCACACTAGATGCCTTTTGTACTCTGATGGCACATGATTGTAGAAGCATCCTTAATATTGCTGCCTGCTGTTGTAAGACTCAGTTAATCGGAATGGGGGTGTGCTCCTGCCAGTGGTACTCATAGCGTTTCTACTCATTCCTGTTTACATAGAAGAGTGTGTGTAATTTACCTTGGAAAGTTTAAATGCCATAACCACTCACTATCTACCTATGTTAAATCGAGCAAATATTTTCTTGGTAAACCTTGAAAGTATCAGATTGACCCCTTCTCATAATATTTGTATGTCTTTAATTTTTAATTTTTTTATTTTTTTTTAGGAAAGGTGGCAACAACAAATTGATAAAGATATACCACCAGGATGGCAAATATGGCTTCTCTGATCCTTTAACCTTTAACTCTGTTGTGGAGTTGATTACCCATTATAGACATGAATCCCTAGCCCAGTACAATCCTAAACTGGATGTAAAGTTGCTGTATCCAGTGTCGAGACATCAACAGGTGAGACATTAGACCAATAGTTTTCCTAAAATCACTTAATTAACGTTCTGCTCTGTGTGAAGACTTCTCCAAAATAAACTTTGCTTATGTTAAACAAGGGGGGACCCTTCTGAACAAGTACAAAATCTAAGTCATAATGGATTTATAAGATGTAATGTCAAATGGCAGGCACTCTTCACACAAGCTCGGGTGATCATGAATTTGTGGCTGCCATCCCACAATTACTGGTTTGGAGACAAGATGATGAATGTATTATGTAGAATGATGGAGGTAATAGCTGGGCTTTTTAACTGGATCCTATAGAGCACAAGTAGGAAGAGCGTAAGCTTCCTGTGAATAAATCTGTCCCCAGTAGCATTGGTTCCTTTGAGTGCGGTGGTTCAAGTACAGAATAAATGCACAAAATTAGTTTTAGACAAATGGATAGACTGAGCTTCATTCGGAGAGAGCTAATGCTCTGGTGTTCCTGGGGATGGGATTTAGATGTTTGTGCATATCCTTTTGAGCTTGTGTATCTTAATTTTTTATTTTATTACAATTTATTTTAAATTTTAATTACATGTAGGACCAGCTAATTAAAGAGGATAACATTGAGGCTGTGGGGAAAAAACTTCAAGAGTACCATGACCAATACCAGGATAAAAGCAAAGAATATGACAGATTGTATGAGGAGTATACAAGGACATCGCAGGTATCTGGACTAATAACACTTTATGTTCAGAGAGGGTTCCCCCCCATCTTAAATATATTGTGGATTTATTAAAGGAACACCCCTGGCACAATGGCCACTACAGCACACATGTTTGTGGTTATGGTGCGTCTTTCTTTAAATTGTGACTTGAGTAAAACCATATGTAGCTCTATCCTATAGTCAGACCTTATGAGTTACTTGCGACTGCATGCTCACCAGGAATGTTTCTACTTGCCAGGGCTGAATTTTCACTTTCTAGTGGTTGTTAGGGTTTTTTTTTACATAGAAAATATTCCTAATTTCAGGGAAAAAAGTTAGTTTAATAATTTGCTGGAACTTTATTTTTTATTTTTTGTTTAATATAGGTTTCATGGGGCCGTGCACTTTAACCTGAAATGGTGATCTTCTCTTACAGGACATCCAGATGAAGAGGACTGCCATTGAAGCTTTTAAGGAAACAATTGAAATATTTGAAGAGCAATGTCGTACCCAAGAAAGACATAGTAAAGAGCATATGGAACGATTCCGCAGAGAGGGCAACGAGAAAGAAATTGAAAAGTAATTACAGATAGGCGTACCCACAAATACTGTCATCAGCATTGTCTTCTGATTCCTCTACAATCTGTTCTTCACTTACTAAAGGGAGTTCTGCCACATATCGAAATGCATTGTATAGCTTATGGCTTTCTGTTTTGGCTACTGATATTTTGAATCCAGGTTCAAATTCTGTTTTGGTGTTTGTGGATTTTTTCCCCTTTTAACTAATTTTTATTTCACTTTAGGCTAACGATAAACTATGAAAAGCTGCAATTTCGCTTGGGAGAAGTGCATGAAAGTAAACTGCGCTTGGAGGAAGACGTGAAGCTGAAGGCCTTGGACAACAGGGAAATCGACAAGAAAATGAACAGCATAAAGCCTGATCTTATTCAGCTGCGGAAACTAAGAGATCAGTACCTTGTGTGAGTTTTATTTGTTTACATATCCAGGTCTATTGAGAGCAGAGGGTAGAAGTATCACCCTATAGTGTCCCTTTATAATTTGTAATACTGTGCATGTGAGCTATGCTATCCCACGGACAGTGTCTGTGTAGAATGCTGCATGTTGAAAATGAGCTTGTGAAGCTGAGATTTGCTTAATGTGCTTGTGAATCTGGGGTTGGTTTTCCATAACTATTTATCTGCAGTGTCAGACTGTATTGCACTGGCTTGTGTGAAGGATTAAATGATTCCTGTGGTGTTCAAATCATTGGTCTGTGCAGCGCCTCTTCTAACTCACACAGCTATGTGTTTTGTGGGTTGTTTGTTTTTGTCCCATACTCTAACAAGCATGGAGCCTAAGCTAAATTTAGCTTTTAGATTTCGCCTTCCTAACTGCATCTGTATCTGACACTGAAGTAATTATTAAAGCAGCACTCCACATACAATTGCCCCTTTGTCATTTTATAAAATTCTGATTTCAAAAGGAATGTTTATAAAGTGACAAGGTTGCACCATTCCAGCTGTCAGACAGCCAGAAAGATGCTCTTCTTGATTTTGTTCCCCAGCACAAGGCTGTGCTGCTCATAGACTGCTGTGCATGCACCCTGTAACCTCCAGTGCATCTGAGAGCATTGGATTGGCTGGGAGATCATCACTAACCTAGAGCAATTGCAGCACTTCATTCATTTTATATATTCATTTCCTAGGAAGGCGTTGGCACTTAACAATAAACCTGTTGTGACAGGTGTTGCTAAACTGCCCATGTGTTCTGTCTAAAATATAATTATGTTGATTTTTATCAACTCACACTTGTTTTATCTTTACAGATGGCTTAATCACAAAGGAGTGAGGCAGAAGCGAATAAATGACTGGCTAGGAATGAAGAATGAAAATATTGATGAGTAAGTGCCCTTGCCATTTTCTATTTTAATGGCCCTCCTCCAACTCTCTTATTTTTAAGGGATGATGGCTAAGCTTGGTTACTAACTGAAATGTTTAAGTGGGTGTGTCTCAGCTTGGCAGTAACCAGTGTTCTGTAAATTTGTTGAAGAAATGATCATGAATGTATGGAATATTGATATTTTTAAAGTGCCAACAAATTCCAGTGTGGTACAGTTGGGTAAAATAGACAAACTAATACAAAAGTAATGGAGGATCCCGCCTATGTACTGACCTCTAGCACTTACAGCCCTTTATATAAAGTGCTAAGCTAGATAGCCCGTGAGCTTATAATCTTTGGTTATAATGACTTGAGACGAGGGAGCAGGGCAAGATTTGACAGTAAGGGCCAAGGTGCCTTAAGAGCATTTTTAGACTGCTCAGATGTGACTGAGGAGGCTATTGGGGAAGATGACAATCACCTGGAAAGGACTCTATAAAGGGATATTGCTTGGTGAGAATGAAGGTGTTTGCTTAAAGTGGATATATTGTGAAAGGTATCTAGATGAGAGGATGAATGCTCTCACATGAATTGCATTCTGCAGATCTCATGAAAATACTAAAGTAGTCAATCTGCAATCTTGTAAATGTCTAAGATGGTTGTGTTGAGGGAGTTGGATCAGCAAAGTAAAAAAAATTTTTTTTTTTTAAATTTTTTTTCTTGCATATGAGTATATTGCCTAAAAATCCTCTTACTGGAACATCCGCCAATTATTTTATTTTTGTTTAATCCAGTATCTATTTTTCAAACGAGGAAGATAATCTACCACACTATGACGAGAAGACATGGCTTGTGGGTGACCTCAATCGTACACAAGCCGAAGAATTACTTTGTGGAAAACCAGATGGGGCATTCTTAATCCGAGAAAGCAGCAAGAAGGGGTGCTATGCATGTTCTGTTGTGTAAGTCTTTGTCTAACTTTACAGTCTGTATCTCTATCATTTCCTTAAACTATGCTGACAATCTGTGTGTTAAGTAGTGTTATCAATTATTTTTTTTTTTTTTCCTCCTCTAAGTTTTAACCCCTTAAGACCGCAGGGCGTTCTATGCCGTCCTTATTTAGATGGCTCTAAACGCCGCAGGGCGACAGAACGCCCTGCGATCTTTTGTACTTACCTGGTCGCTGGTGATCCCACGCCGGCAATCGCGGTATGGGGACTTACCTGGGAGCCCAGGGAGTCCCTCTTCAGCCCCCCTGGGCCATGTGATCGCAAGGTCCTTGCGAGGACCCCGCGATCACATGGACGGCATAGCCAGCAGGGGGAGTGCCTGTAATGACAGGTACTCCCCCTGCTGTCTGAAAATAAAATTAAAAGATGTTAAAGATCATATATATGATCTAAGTGTGTGTGTATATACACATAAATACATACTGTCTACGTCTATTTTAATAATATACATAATTATATATTAATATCAAAATACATGTACAATATTGATTAAATATATAATTTTCATTATATATTTATAATAAAATAGATATATAAATGTTATAAAATAAAAATAATAAATATATACATGCATAATTTTGTTCTAATTTTGTATTTTAAAATTAATATATAGATATCAAAATACATGAACAAAATATATATCTATATACTTAAGTATATATGTGTATATATCTCTATATAAATAAAAATAATAAAATTATATATATTTTACATATATCTATGTAATATTTTTACATAATTAGGTCATCTTATTAATTACAACTTGCAGGACCTGCCTGACAACCCAGGCAGACAGTTCAGGGAATTAAATTTTCTTGCACTATATTTAACCTTGTAACTTTCCAAGACACCATAAAACCTGTACATGGGGGGGTACTGTTTTACTCGGAAGACTTTGCTGAACACAAATATTAGTGTTTCAAAACAGTAAAATGTATTACGACGATATCGTCAGTGACTGACATTTTTTTGCATTTTTCACACACATGGCACTTACACTGACAATTGTTGTGTTCCGTTTTACTGTTTTGAAACACTATTTGTGTTCAGCAAAGTCTTCCGAGTAGAACAGTACCCGTCATGTACAGGTTTTATGGTGTTTTCAAAAGTGAGTCAAATAGAAGGCTTGCGTTTCATTTTATTCACATTAAAATTCACCAGGTTGGTTACATTGCCTTTGAGACCCTATGGTAGCCCAAAAATGACAATTACCCCCATGATGGCATACCATTTGCAACAGTAGATAACCCAGGGTATTGCAAATGGGGTATGTTCCTTTTTTTTTTTTTTTTTTTTTTTTTTTTTTTTTGTAGCCACTTAGTCACAAACACTGGGCCAAATTTGCTTTCAAATTAGTTTTTTGTATTTTCAAATATTAACACTAACATTGGCAAGTGTTTGTGACCAAGTGGCTACAAAAAAAACTGGACATACTCAATTTGCAATACCTTGGGTTGTCTAATTTTGCAAATGGTATGCCATCATAGGGGTAATTTTTATTCCTGGGCTACCATATGGTCTCAAAGGCAACGTAACCAATCTGGCGAATTTCAATGTGAAAAAATATTTGACCCTGTAACTTCCCAAAACACCATAAAACCTGTACATAGGGGTTATTGTTTTACACATGAGACATCACTGAATACAAATGTGTATGTTACTGCAGTAAAAGCAAACAGTATTTTGACGTTCACGGTTAAAATGTCACGTAGAACTAAAAAATTTGTAAAATTCTTTTCTCCCATTTATTTTTTCATATTAAATTATGTTCCATACCTAAATATTTGATGTTAAACGAAAGCCCTGTTTCCCCTGAATAAAATGATCTATAATAAGGGTGGGTGCATTTAAGAGGTGAATTACGGTTGGACAGACATACAGCGCAAATGCCAGGTTTTGTTTTGATCACAACTTGTACATTTGGCTGTGGTCTTAAGGGGTTAAAGATCGCTTGCTGGTAGTGTAGCTTAAATGGCTTGCTAATTTTTTTTTTTATTTTTTTTTATAAAGTGGACCAGTCACTACTGCCAGCAGATTTATAAATGTAAAAATGTATATATCTTGTATTTGCTAGTGACATACAAACATTTGTATACAGCGGTAAGACCATTTCCTTTATGGCAGATGCCCTTTCTCTCACATGAGAACACTTCAATGCTTTTTGCTACAACATGATGCTTTACTATTTTTATTTTCTTCTTTTCAGGGCTGATGGGGATGTTAAGCACTGTGTCATTTACAGTACATCTAGGGGCTATGGGTTTGCAGAGCCATACAATCTGTACAGCACACTTAAAGAATTAGTCCTTCATTACCAGCAGACATCCCTTGTACAGCACAATGATTCCCTCAATGTCAGGCTCGCCTATCCAGTCTACGCACAAATGCCCTCCTTCTGCAGATAAATCCTCAGAACTGAGACTGCAAAGTTGGATATTTTGGATATTTTCTACAGTTTTTATTAGAACTAAGAGGGCATTCTTTCTACTTAGACTGCTTGTTTTGCACAAGAAGTGAATTTGTGAATGTGAATCGAAGTGGCCTAGGAGCAAAATGGCAACTTAACATGAGGTGTCCTGGTGCTGCCTACGGTTCAGCCGTGCTCTTGCACCCTTTCATTTGGTGCAGTAAGCGAAAACGGACAACTGGGAGAGAATTTTGGCAGTCTCCTCCAGGGAAAATTTGAATCTATTGTGATGTCGGTACCATTTTTCCAGACATTGAATCCTCTGAGAGGTGTTTGCAATGTCGTTTAAACACCGCAGCATCAGGCGGCTAAAGAGATTTTTCACCACTGCAGTTTTCTCTTCAGCTGAACTTCCAATCCAATGGCTTGAGATATATATTGAAAGGTAGCATGATGTTAGGTGGTGAATATAAGAAGACCAAAGGATTCCTGGGGGAAAAGATTCACTTTTATTTCCTGGAAGAAAAACCAGAAAAAAACAAGAATTTAAAAAAATTAATTAAACAACAAAACAAAAAAAAAACTACTAACAAAGTTGCTTTATTTTATTTCAACAGTAAACGTTTTGGCTTCCATAGCACTAACTCTTCACATGAGGAAATCTTCGTTTTAACCAAATCCAACCCACCAACATTTTGTTCGTTGCTGGATTAAGCACTTATGTGGGGAAACTGAGCTGGCATCTGCACATATTTCTACACCAAAACTTGAAATTTGAAAAAACAAATACTGAAAACTTGGGTGGTTTGACAACACTAATCTGTCAACATGTCCACAATATTTTGCCCCATTGTAACGTTTTATTTTAGTGTGTGTTTTTTTTTTTTTTTTGTTCCCCTCCAAAGTTTTATTGGAAATGGACACTCTGCTTTGGAATGTAAACTGATAGCGAGGAGCTGGTGCTCCATTGTTTGTGATTTTTATTTAAGTAAGCAAAACTTAACTTGTGGGGGTGTTTGGTTTTTGATTTATACCATGTCCGATAAGGGTGCAAATCGGTGCTTCTAGATGGCTTGTTATACCAAAAAACTGCATCACATTCAACTATTTCTGAACAATGTCACCCATGTGTTCATGGTTTTCACAGCAATACAACTTCCATGCCAGGATTAGCATAACATATGTGATCCTTTTTGTTTTGCTTTTGAAATCTTAGGACTACAGGGCAAAAAAAAGTTTAAAATAGACGATAAAACTGGTTTTAGTGTCCTGTGCATTTATCAGTCAGGACTCCGTTTCAACTTAACAATCATTTTAAATATCTTTTTTTAAATAACTAAAGATATTGTGTGAAAATGCATTTAGTAATACAATCTTTGTGTGCCATAAAACTGATTTTGTGGCATCTTTTTATACCTTCCTTATTTTCCAAATCTGTAACTTGTTATGCCAATGCAACATGGTGAGTGCATTTTTGTATATTTTCCTTACTGGTTTCACACAGTGGACAGGACTGTTAGAAATCTATTGGTATTTTAGTTTTGTACTAAAATTTTAGTGATGGCTCCAGTTTTAACTTTTTCTTTTTCCAAACATCGCGCCCTATGACTTTTTTTTACTTTTGTCATGAAATACCAATCTCACAATAGTCACATTGTGACTCTTGAAAATGAGTGGTTTTGGTTTTTAGAATTTGTGTGTAATGCAAGCTCTGTTCCCTCATTGAGTGTTGCTAAAATACGAAGTTTACTTGTCCATATCATTCAGTTCTAAAGATTGGACGTAAAAATGTCTTATCAGAGGCAGCTACTTATTTTTATATAATTTTTTTTTTTTTTTTTTCTCTCTATGTATATTTTTGACTGTTTGCAAAAGGGAAAACCAAGCTCGGGCAATCCTTTTTTTTTTTTTTTGCAAAGCTAGTAACCTGATCGAATTTCTTTCTTATTTTAAGAGGTTGTTGCCTGTAAATGGATAGCTATTATCCATTCGAAAGTAGTTTGGTCATGTTTCCTGCTCAAACCACTCCCCTCCCAAGCTGTACCTGAAAGTGGACTTTTTACACCACTAAAACCCAACAATGTAAAAAAGCCATCTAGAAGCATTCATCATCTTTGTTACAATGTTTGTATGTATAACTGTTTCAGATTCATGTGTAAATTTTAGTCTAGATTTTTCCAAACTACTCCTGTTGTGCATTGTTTATGTTGCACTTGCTTCAGGCTTAAAAAGCTTCCAGCAGTCCATGCAGTACCCATTTTATACACATGCGGGCCGTTGCACATCGACTTCTCAGTTTTTTGCACTCATTCGGCACTTGGTACAAAATGGGTATAAGACTGACCATAACTATTGAAATCAAGCTTAAATGCACTACAGGTGTGACCAGCAGTGATAATGCCAGCGGGAAACGGCAGGATTAGCAATGACCAGGGGGCTGGGAAGTGGGCTGACCATTTTCAAGGTTGGCATATGGCCCTTTTGACCTTGTAAGGGCAAGAAATAAACTTGCAATGACAAGTGGGGGATAGAACTTAATTTCTGTGTGGGGTCAATATTAAAACACCATTTTATTTTCAAAGGAAAAATATATTTTCACTTAAGTTATTCTGACTACAGCTGATGAGTCAGCTGGCCTTTTCTTTCTTTTCTTGGTATATATTGCTCTCAAAAACAATCTCCTGTGGTGAGAAAAGCCTAAGTGAAATGATAGAATGTAAAATAATCCAAACCTATTCTAGAGGACTAATGACCAGATCTTATTCCATGCGGATAAGCGTGGCTGGATAGTGGGAAATCTTGAAATTACGAAGAGTCTCATTCAATAGATTTCATGAAGTGTATGACCTCAGTCTGACCGCATCAACAAAGATTCTATTTTTTTTTTTTTTTTTTTTTCGCTGAACTCTATCAAGGTAGCTTGATCAATGTTTTAATGGAATGAACTGTGCAATATCTGCTATTTAAATCCTTTTCTAATTTGTGTTTTTATTTTTTTTGGTTTTTATTTTGTTTGTTCCTCTTGATAGTTTGATATAAATCAGACTTTTCACCTGTTTTTTCTTCCAGTGGTGTTTAGACGTGGGAGGTTGCAAGTCAGTATTATTTATTTGAAGACTATATAAATATATATATAATTTTTTTCTTTTTAGTAGCCAGCCGTTCATTACCTCCAGTGCCCTGCCAACCTTAAAACAGCACCCAGTAAAATGCTGTGGCCTGGGATCTTTCTGGTTTGGTGTCTCCCCCCCCCCCCTTGAAATGAAAGGTGTAAAGTATAGGATGAAACCACCCATAACAATACATGTGGTTTGGCAATTCTTCTCTTAGGGCAGAGTTCTTGATTTAATATACTTTCTTCCCTGCCCTCTAAAACGTGTAGTAAAAATTAAAAAGATTTTGCTTTGTGCACTATTCAGTGCATCTGTCATTTAACCTTTTATAATTATTTTTTTACCTTAAAGTCCTATTTACCATTGTGAATTACAGAAAATAAGGTTTTGGAACCTCCTTTTGTGTTAGCCAACTGCTTAAATTATGCAGAAGGCCCAAATACCATGAATGCTAACCTTTAGATTAAAATGATTCCAGCACTGGGCACGGTAGAAATGAACTGGTTAGGCAACCCCACATATATTAATTTGTGCTGTGCACAGAAATTCTTTGTTAAAATTGGCATAAAGAATGCCATATTAAAACTTTTTTTTTTTTTGTGGGTGGGGAGTGGGAAGTCATGCTGGGATTAAAAAATGTAAAACCTGGATCACACCATCTGTATCGGGCATAAATGAACACCTTAAGTGCCAGTTTGTAGTGATGCTTTTTCACACTTCTGGCACTAAAAGGGTTACTCCTCTTACAGATGCACCATGTGATAACTTGTTTAATGCTGTAACATCTTAAGGAGCAGTTTGTTTTTTTTTTTTTGTTTTTTTTTCCTTCCAATTTTAAGAAAAAAATAAATGAATAAGACTCTTGGTACTTGAACAATCTTTGTGTGAAGATGTGTTTTTATAGGTTTTTGGAAAATGCAATTTAAACATCTTTTTGTACATTTTGCTGTATTTCTGCTATTTTAAGCAGAATTCTTTTCAGGGGAAACTAGGTTTCAGCATTTAGCTTTTTATTGAACAGTTTAACTGTTTTTAAGATGCATTTTTTTTCTCCCCATTTCATTGGCTTCTTCTTTTATCTATCTTGGCATTTTGTTTGCTTTGTCCTGTGTGCCTATGACTCTAGATGGCACAAAGGGCAGTTGTGGAAAGGATTTCCTCCTGTAGTGTTTGTGGAAGTGGAAGTTTATTTTAATCTCCATTAACTTCTACAAGAGTTTATTTTTTATTTTTTTTCGGATTTGAAAGACTGCAAGCTTTCTTGAAAAATGTACATTCTCAAAGTTTAAAACTACATAACTTGATACAAAGTTATATTGGGATTTTGCAGAAACTAAATTAACAAGTAAATATCTCTTTAGGATGTTGCTGGTCCTATACCATGATGATAATGCTGTCTGCCCTTGCCAAAGGTATATATGGTGGCTCTAATTCTCCAACTAGAATGTATGCCCCCGCCCGTTGCCATATTTTGTTAGCAATGGCATATTTGATGCTAATATGCTTGCATGGGTTATCTAAAGAGTACTAGCTGCATAACCCACAATATCTGAAACTCCAATGGTGGTGCAGGACTGCTTTACTGACTTTATTTGTGTAAAAGTACAGCCTATTCCTCTTTCTCTGGATTAGAATAAAAGAACCTAAAAAAGGTTATGGTCTTGACAGAGCCTTGTTAAGCTGCTAGTTGAGGAACACGCTATTGAAATTTTATTTGCAATTTAGTAGATCCCACCCCATTGGTGGTAGATCTTAAAACTGCTTGCAAAAGCTGCAGATGCGTCTGCAGCCTATTAAGTTGAGTAAAATGCGAGAGGGCTTGCAGTCTGCTGGGGAATACTCCAATCAGAGGCTTCTCATAGAGACACTAACTTGCAGCTTTCCAGTGCTTCTCATTGAGCTGTAATGCATCTAATTTAGAAGGGGATAGGCAGGTGTATGCCTGCTGTGTTCATGGCTCTGACCACCAAGGAGGGATTTTTTTATTTTTATTTTTTAATGGCCCAAATATAAAATTGTCCCTTTTTATAATCTCACATATGTGGTACACACGCAAGCTGAAGTGCTTTTGTGTGTGGAGTGTCCTTTTAAAGGAACACTCAGAGCACCATATGCACCACAGCTTGCAGTAGTGTAAATATATCAAACAGCATGTTGGTATGATGCTCAGATTGTCACTTTAAACATGGTTCCCGTTTAGGTTTAGAAATGTTGCAGTTGGGTTTGAGCACCAAATAGTAACCCAACCTCATTTAAAAGTCTGTCTTTGAATGTGTCTACTTTGTACACTTTCCAAAGTCTAAGAATTTAGACATGGCCTTGGCTTCTGTAATCAATCCTTAGACTGGCAGTGCAGCATACAAACAAGTAGAATTTAATAACTGAAGTTCTTTAATGAACACACTGGAGTGTAGGTTACTTTATATATTATACAGATGGATTACAAAGAACAAACACCAAACTTTGATCATTTGCAGCAAATGTAGTAAAGTCACAGACTAGGAATCTGCATAGCCAGCCATTTAACTTTAAGTTTTTATATAGCGCCAGCAAATTCTGTAGCGCCGTACAATGGGAAAATCCCATAATTGTCAGTTACTGTGGAAAGCTAACAGCTGAACTGCAACTCTCTTACCCTGATGTACAGCAGTATTATTGAAGCAAAAGGGATTCCTTGCAGGCTTGTAGAAAGGGCAGAATTGGGTAGGTTTGTGGAATTTTTTTTTTTTTTTTAACTTAAAGATGAGTAATATACCCATCTTAACTAACTGTAACCTACCTCCTATCATACTTAATTAGTGCTTTCTAGAGTGTCCTCTTAAGTCTATATTTTGATTCCCCTACAAATGCTGCAGAACTGTCTGGCATTTACTCTAAATATGCAGAACAAACATATGTATTTTTTTTTTTTTTTTTTTAAATGGGAGGGGCAATCAATATTCTAAATATCTGTGAACCATTAATTTTTTTTATTTTTAGAATTTGCAGTCTCTTGTCAACACACAAACTGTCAAACTTTTTTTTTTATTTTTTTTTTGGACTGGTAAAGAAATGCGGGTTTTGAACCTTAAAATCGAAGGGCCTTTATATTTTTTTCTCCTCTCCATGGGTGCTTTAAATGGCACTGCTCTCACTTTGAGAAGATTCCATTAAATTTCAGCTTGCACTTATGTATTAAGATGATGCGATGTTTGCCATGAGTAGCATTTTGATAGTTTTGTTTTATTTTGGTTTACTCTGCTGGACAGAAAGCATTTTAGTAGGTACAAGGTTAATGTTACATGCTTTGTAGCAAGCAGGTATAATACACACTTTGCAATATTTTTACAGCCACAAATGGGGAATTTCAAATCCAATAACTCGTTAGGATGCAGTACTGTATGCACATTAACTCCTGGCTGCTAGATTGTGGCCAGGCCTTTCTTGATCCAATATGTGCAAGCGTTTTTTTTTTTCTTTTAACAAAATATTACAGCCACTTCTGTGTTTACTGAATTTTGGCATGTAAATTTCGGTACTGACTGTTAGTGTAAAACACGTTCTGTCTTATGGTGTCATGAGAAATTCATGTAGCTAGATTAAATGGTTTTCATGATGAAACAAAAGCTGTATGTTTAGTGTTTCTCAAATAAATCATACTGTAGACGTTAGACAGATTTATCACTTGCAAGTACTTGTCACCAGATGTGTGGAACATTTTGCTGGGGTTTATAGATTTGTGTTTTGTGTTTTTCTCCTCTCTTCTCAAAGAGGTTTGAAGAGATGCAATAAGTAAAACCATGCAATAATGCATCACCACTAAACCAGACACTGCTGGTAGGAACAATCTAAAAGGATGCCTTTGAACACAATGGGAGGGTTTCACTGGATCAGTCAAATAAGTTCAATCCAAGTTGTAAAATCAGTGTCTGACTAAATTTTCTATATAGTATTTAAAAACGTTTGATTTACAATAAAACAAAGTCTTAATGTAAAGTACACCTTTTTCTAAAATAAATGGTATGGGGGACTTCTAAAACTGAAGAAATCGCCATGCTTTAAGAACATTTAATTGGTTTACATGGTGATTGAAAAAAGTGAGACAAAGTTCTAAAAGAACAATTTTTTTTTTAATATAAATCTCCCCCAAAAGTAAAATGATGTACAGCATCAATTTTCTCCTGCTTCTAAAACAAACCAGGCCTTATTGCTACCCCGTTTTGAAGATGGGTTTTTGTTGACCTATCTCAGCTGTGTTAGCATTGGCACTAAATATGAAGCGGGCAATTTCCTACTTGGGTTCACAGGGTCACCACAGACCTCTAAATCACGTTCGGGGGGGGGCGCACGGGGATAATACTGTTCCTGGTTTGTTAAGCTCTGTGGACCTAAACACAAAAGGCAGCAATTGCCCAGAGCACCTGCCTTGCAAAGACTTCTCATTGAGCTGTATTGGGAAGCCTGTGATTGGACCACCACTAAGTCTGGGTGGGACTAGGAGAGGACAAGGATGCAGACAAGAAATCTGACTTCATTTGGGAAATGGAGTGTCTTTCAAATAGAATCAACCCATTAAAATGGCTAGTTTGCTTTTTCACATCTATATTTTATAACCCATCATTTTTTTTTTTTTTTTTTCTCCTTTCAGGTAAATCATTGTTAAACTTGAATATATCCTTGCCTCTTGAGCCTGTTTAGGTTATTTGGTGTAGTCTGTTGGGTTTATTTTTAATCTTTTTGTTTTGTTTCCTAAAGAAATTAGAAAAATAGACCCACCTAGCTCAATGTGATTCAACTGGTGACAAGTATCTTATTCCTTAACCTTTTCTCTCTGTATTGGCTTTTTGTTTGGTACCATAGTGCACTATTGTTCAAAGTACAGTTGCATCTAATTGTTCAATAACCTGTATCGGCTGTGTTTTCACCCCATCACGGGGGACAGATCTGTGTACAGCATTTACATGGTTCCATGATACTTATCTGTCTTGCAGAAATAAAGACAAACAAACATATTTTCTTGATTGAATTATTTTTTCTCCTAGTCCTTTGCGAAGCCTATAGTTTAGTAATTAGAATATTTATATAAACTGATTATTGGTTTGCACTAACAGCCTTAATAGTTTTAGACAAGGAGTGTACGTGAACTCAAATGTAAAATGTCTATAGCCAGTTATACATTGTGTGCACTCATCCATACACCTGCATCTGCATATAACCTCAGCTGTTAAAGGTTTTATTGATTATTTTACTATACTACTATTCTAAAAAGAGGAATCTAAGCGGAGATTCTGAGAACAAGCCATTTTGTCACTAATATGGATATTTTCACCGGATGTCTAGTGAATGGCAGGTTGCGAGAATCTGCTGAAATGTTTAACCTGTATACAACATTATGTTGAATAACCTTTTAATCAGTGACCTTCCCTGGCAACTTTTTTGTATTTCATTGCATGAAGAAATGATGCAAACTAAATATTTTCTTATTCTTTTTTTTTTGGGGAGGGGCTGAGTATTGTTTTACTAACTGAAAAAAGTCCGCTTCTAAAGGTAGAACAATCCACATGGAAATATTGGATCCTAATCTAACATGTCTGCTGATGCCCTTGATTTCCACTTTTTGTATAGATAGGGGGAGGTTTATAAAAATGTCAAAGTGCTATCAGAGTAGTAGACTTGCCCCATTTAAACAGTCAAAAGGCATGTACCACAGAATGTGTAAAATACTATATAGGCTTCATAAACTAGTTGCTAGTGTATTTCTATAAAAATGCACACAAAGTACACCTTCTTCGAATAATACGGTTTTACCTAACCGGGCAGAATAGCAATCATCTGTTCATTAGCAAGTCTTTAAAATTGGGTAAATACAACCTGAGATAAACAATGCCTGATATTACAGATGCATTATTTAACAAAATAAAGCCAAAATGGAGAAGCCATGTGTGGAAAAACTAAGTACACCCTTACTCCTTCCATATTACTTAAGAGACTAAGTAGCAGGCAGGTGGAGCTAATTAATCACCAAATGTGATGACCTCCTATAAAAGCTGCTGATTGCTGGTCTGGTGCATTCAGGTGTGCTAACACAATGCCAAGGAGGAAAGACATCCGCAATGGTCTTAGAGAAGCAATTGTTGCTGCCCATCAAACTGGCAAGGTTTCTAAGGCCACTTTCAAACAATTCCATCATTCTACAGTGAGATTATTTAAAAGTAGAAAACATTCAAGACCATTGCCATTCTTATCAGTAGTGGATGTCCCATTAAATTCACCCCATGGTCAGACTGCGACGCTCAGAGAAATTGCAAAATAAGTGTTACAGCTCAGACTCTACAGGCCTCAGTTTTATTTTTATTACTGGTCTTTATAAAGTGTCAACAGATTCCGCAGCGTTGTACAATTAGTGGAGGATGTACAATATACACAGACAAATACAAAAGGTAGAGGGCCATGCCCGTAAGTTCTTTGATAGCCTGTAAGCTTACAACCAGTTGGCATGTTAAAGTTTGTGACAGTACAATTAGAAAAAGACTTAACTAGCATGGCTTGTCTGGAAGGGATACCAGGAGAAAGCCTCTTCTCTCTAAAAAGAACATGGCAGCACACCTTAGATTTGCAAAGTTGCTTCAAAACAAACAAGTCTTCTGGAACAATGTCCTTTGGACAGACAAAGCCAAGGTGGAGATGTTTGACCGTAATGCACAGATCCACCATACACAGCATATCTGCACAAATACGTCATACCAACTGTCAAGCACAGTGGTGGCGAGGTAATGATTTGGGCTTGTTTTGCAGCCACAGGACCTGGAAACCTTGTACTCATGGAGTTTACCATGAACTCATCTGTATATTATAGAGTAAAACAGGAGGACATCTGTCTGACCGCTAAAGCTTGGCCGAAATTGGGTCATGCAACAGGACAATTGTTCCTAGCACACCAGCAAATTTGCAACAGAATGGCTGAAAAATAATAGAATCCTGGTGTTGCCATGACCCCATCAAAGTCCAGACTACAAACAGCTTGAAATGCTATGAAAGGGGCTTTAAATGGACACTATAGTCACCAGAACTACAGCTGATTGTATTTCTTCTGGTGAGTAGAATCTTTCCCTTCAGGGTTTTGCAGTCAACAATGTATTTTCAGAGAAAATGCAGTGTTTTACATTACAGCCTAGGGATACCTCTACTGGTCACTCTTCAGATGGCTGAGAGGTGCTTCCTAGAGCAGTGCTTCACAGTTTGACTGACAGTGTCTCCACCCTCTGCATGGAGACACGTGAGATGCTGATTGGCCAGGGCTTGTGCTGGCTCTGCCCCTGGTCTGCCTTCTTAAGTCTCAGCCAATTCTATGGGGAATCCTTGTGATTGGCTCAGATCTCCATTTACTATATTAGATGATGGTTTTAACACTATATGGTCAGGAATATGTTTGTGTTCTTGACCCTATAGTGTTCCTATAATGTAGTTCTGTTGGCTATAGCCTGTCCCTGCAGGTATTTTAATGTAAACGCTGCCTTTTCAGAGAAAAGGCTGTGTTTATATTACTGCCTAATAACCACTCACTCAGATGTGCAACGTTCAGCACTGATGTTTAGCATCTCCACGCTCTGCATGGAGGCACTGAGCTCTCCCCATAGAGATGCATTAAGTCAATACATCTGTAGGAGGAGATGCTAATTAACGCCTCATGGTAGCCCCTTAATGCTTTCCTGTGTGAAAGCGTTGGATTGGCTGAGATAAGTTCTAATCTAAGCCAGGTGGGGGGCATGGCCAGCGCCATTGGACCTGCACAAGACTGGGAAATAAAAGTTAAGTTTATACTTTTTCAGAAAGGCAAGGGGGAGTGGGGGGGCTGACCAACTAACATCTTGTGGGTTTGTTAACACGGTTTCTTTTAAGGCAGCTGAAAAAAAATGCCAGCAAGCTTCAATGAACTGAATCAACTAAAGAAAAGTTGGCCAAAATTCTTCCAACGATGTGTACTAAAGGTGATTCTACAAGCTATTGAATAATAAGGTGTACTTAGTTTTTTTCACACATGGCTTCTCCATTTTGGCTTTATTTTTGTCAAATCATAACACGGTGTATTATGTCATGTGTTGTTTAGCAGAGGTATTTACAGTGAGGGAAAAGTATTTGATCCCCTCCTGATTTTGAACGTTTGCCCACTGACAAATGATCAGTCTACAATTTTAATGGTAGGTGTATTTTAACCGTGAAAGACAGAACAAAAACAAAATCCAGAAAAACACATGTAGAAAAAAAACGTATAAATTGATTTGCATATCAACACATTGTACGGAATTAGCTGGCGCTATATAAATAATATGATGAGTGTATGAAATAATTATTTGACCACTTCGACTTGGTGGCAAAACTCTTGTTGGCAATCTGAGGTCAGAAGTTTCTTGTAGCTGGCCACCAGGTTTGCACACATCTCAGACAGGCCTGTACATGTGCTTTCTTGAGCAGGGGGACCTTATAGGCACTGCAGGATTTCAGTCCTTCACGTTGTAGTGTGTTACCAATCCTCCGGTGTAGTTCTGGGCTGATTCCTCACCGAGACTGACTGTTATTTTGTGTTTCTTCCATTTGCGAATAATCGCACCAATTGTCACCTTCTCACCAAGCTGCTTGGCGATGGTCTTCTAGCCCACTCCAGCCTTTTGTAGGTCTGGCATCTTTGGACAGCACTTTGGTCTTGGCCATGGAGAGTTTAGAATCTTCTGTCGACAGGTGTTTTTATATATATATATATATATACACACACACACACACACACGTAACGAGCGGAGATTAGGGGCACTCCCTTTTAATAAAGTGCTCCTAATCTCAGCCCGTTAACTGTATAAAAGACACCTGGGAGCCAGAAATTTTGCTGATTGATAGGGGATCAAATACTTATTTCACTCATATCAAATCAATTTATAACTTTTCCTGGATTATTATTTTTTTTTCTATTCTGTCTCACTGTTCAAATACACCTACAATTAGAATTATAGACTGATCATTTCTTTGTCAGTGGGCAAACTTTCAAAATCAGCAGGGGATCAAATACTCCCCACTGTACCTAATTAAGACCTGCTAAGGAACAGATGATTATGTCCTGATATGTAAAAACATAGAATTCAAAGAGGGTGTACTGTCTTTTCCTCATGACTGTATATAATTACACAAACTGGCATTGTGGCAGGTATACTGCACATTGGGTGTCTTATTTTTATTAATTGCATTGTGAGCTTTGAAGTTGCTTTTTAGTGAATGCCCTGTCAGGGCCGGCGCTACCTGTTAGGCGGACTAGGCAGCCGCCTAGGGTGCCCCTTGGGAAGGGGCGCCGGCCTTCCCATTCTGCAGCCGCCCAAGCACTCTGTAGAGAGCCTCAGGCGGCTGCAGCTTTGCCCGGGCGGTATGTCCAGGAGGGCGCACCGCCGGGCGCAGCATGAGAAGAGGGGCTGACAGGAGGGAAGCACTCAGCACTCCCTCCCTGTAGCGTGGCCGAGCCCTGCATCAT